CCCCTGATGAGCGCAGCAAGGAAGGTTCTATCTGGAACCGGCTGGTGAGTGTTATTCCTACATGGAAAAGATGGGGTGAGACTCTGAGGGATATTGCCTAGATGTGATTTGCAGCCTGCATGCTTTCCACCTTGGATTTCCTGAACAGCTGTTCAGGAGTTGTTCTATTTTGTCTTCTAGCCCTGTTTTCTGAAGGATTGGGAGCTTCATGTCCATTTTAAAATTCATGGGGCAGGGAAGAAGAATCTCCATGGAGATGGTTTTGCCCTGTGGTACACCCAGGATCGCCTGACTGCAGGTATTGTGATCAGCCTAATAATTTGCAATATATTCCACTTTCATGGGTTTGGGACTTTTAATACAAGTAAATAGATCCACCCACCCCCCCAGTTGTTGCAATCAGCCTGGCAGAATATACTCTAGTTGAAACAATAGGCACTTTAGAACTTTAACCATCATCCCCAGAAATATATCAATGTTTTAAGGGCCTTCTGAAAGTCTGGAAGAATCAAAGTCATTCTCATCTCAAGGGAAATAGTTTTCTGTAGAACAGGGGCAGTAACCAAAAAGTACTTTGTGGATCCCTCAAGATAACATTCTTTAAATTAACTGGACCTGCATCATACTTCTCCTTCCAGATCTTATGGGAAAGGTAGAAACTATCAAGGAAAGGCAGTCGCCTGGTCTTATGCCATGAAATAGTAGGTTATCCACTGATGGAATGTTAGCTAATAATTTCCAGAATCTTCCGTTGGAGTGGCTTTGTGACATGGGTAACATCTTCCCCAGGGTACCTAGCCCGTAAAGCTTCACAAACCTTTTTGGCCCTAAGCAGACTTACCCATCAATAATAATGATTGCTAGCAAACATTTGTTGATTATACATATTTATATACCATCTACTCCAAAATGACTTCATGTAAAATGTTTAAATTGATCAGTGTTGTTTGAAGATTGGTTGATTTTAGCTCTTTAAAAGTACATGGACCCCTTATTCATATTTTTCTGTTTATCACCCTCAGGACCTGTATTTGGCAGTAAAGACAAATTCCATGGATTGGCCATTTTCCTGGATACCTATCCCAATGAGGAAACTTCTGAGGTAAATGATACCAATAGCTTCTGTTTGAAGGCTAATACTGCATTTTGCTTTTCCTGCAGGAACAATCCCATATAAATAGAGATTCTGTATGCATAGGGATTTCAAAATATTTAGGGTATGAGTTTTGAGCATCAGAGAGACAAGTCTGATTAAAATTTATTTTATTCTGTAGCGTGTGTTTCCTTACATTTCTGCCATGGTTAACAATGGATCCCTGATCTATGACCATAGTAAAGATGGTCGCTGGACGGAGCTGGCAGGGTGTACAGCTGACATTCGTAATCAGAACCACGACACTTTTTTGGCTGTCCGATATTCTCGGGGGCGTCTGACGGTAAGTGTGATGATGGGTGCTGGATACAAAATGCACAAGTGAATTAGATGACATTCTACCACATTACACAAATAACAGATGAATGTCCATGGAAGTTCCAAATTAAGTTACATCATGTTTACTACAGCTCTAGTCAATGAAATGTAAAAAGTGAACATGAATATAATCTGATAATATAGTTTTGAGTTTACCAATTTATATATTTCAGAATTGACATTCTTGTACATTTCCATAGGATTTTTTAACTGTCTGAGAAGTGTGAAAACTAAGTTATGCTTAATGTGGAAGATGACTTTTATGTTGCAGGTTATGACTGACATAGAGGATAAAAATGAATGGAAAAACTGCTTTGATGTTGCAGGAGTTCGATTACCCACTGGTTATTTCTTTGGGGCTTCTGCTGGTACAGGAGATCTATCTGGTGAGAAATACCTGCTAGTAGTTAAAGTGACTGTGCTATTTGTTTATATTATTTCACATAGAGACAGCTTTTGGTAAAGTTCACAAGATACAGGTAATCCATGATTCACAACCACAATTAGGACCAGAATGTATGGGGTTAAGCAAGTAGATTGTAAAGTAGTTGCACCCAATTTTATGGCATTTTTTGTCGTGATTGTTAAACTAATCACTATAGATGGTAGGCAAATCATCCAGTTAAGAGAATTCAGCTTCCCCAGCTGATTTTGCTTGCAGGAAGCTACCCAGGAAGATAATAAATTGTGATCTTTTGTCACTGAATTTTAATTTTAATCAGCTGAACAGTGAATATAACTTGGTTTATTTTCCAGATAATCATGATATCATTTCAATGAAGCTATTTCAATTGATGGTGGAACATTCCCCAGAGGACGAAAACATTGACTGGACAAAGATTGAGCCCAGCGTCAGTCTTTTCAAATCACCCAAAGGTTACTTATTAATGTTTCTACCCTGAATGTTCAATGAAGCAAATGGGGGATCAGTTTCCCACAGGCATTGCTTTTCCTAAAATTACTTCACTTTTAAAGCTAGTATAGACTAATGAAGACAGTCTTTTTGGTTTAGGTACCAGGTGATCAAATAACTATAAACTGATTATATATTTATTGGATGTATAGTGATATCCAATGTAAACAGTGTGAGTTTAGGTGGATTACAACAGAAACCTCTGTCAAACATCTGCACTTACCATATTTAGGTTTTCTTATTTTGAATTTTTGAAAACTTCATAAATAGTAAATATGCATTCAGATTTGCAAGGAGATATTCTGTTTAATTTTTACCATGTAGACATTGGTACAATAGAACCAGATTTAGATTTATTTATTTACTTAGATTTATTTAAATATACAATTTGACCAAGAATGCGTATATTTTTGTCTGCAGTTGTATATGCTGCATTGGAACAGGTAAAGGTTCACCATGGGATCTCAGCTGGACCAGAATCTTAGAGAGCAAAGTTTAAAATTCTGTTTCAGATTATTTCTCATTATCCACCTAATGATTATTAGCTTTTCTGCAAAGAAACCTGGGAGGGTTTTCACAAGCTCTGGAGAGGACAGCTATTCTGTGTAATCTGTGTAATCCAGAATTATGCTAATCTATATTAAACTATTATTTAGGTAGAAAAGCAGAAGGATGTAATATGTATTAAACTTTTTATTTTTTTTCTCTTCAGATAATGTAGATGATCCAACAGGAAACTTCCGTAGTGGGCCCTTGACAGGCTGGAAAGTGTTCTTACTATTACTATGTTCTCTACTTGGCATCATTGTATGTGCTGTGGTGGGGGCTGTGGTTTTCCAGAAACGCCAGGAGCGAAACAAGCGATTTTACTAAGGTGTAGGAAGCTGAAATTTGGGGCAGCTGGGGATGTTTTTTACAAGGGGGAGGAAGAATTGTATAGACTCTGGTTTATAAAAGGCTGTTTCAGAGAAATGTATGGAATATTTTCATATCCCTTTTTTTCTTGGCAACAATAGGAAATTGTGTCAAACAATCTGGAATATAGGTTGTACTGTACTTGGGAGCCTGCCATTTTGAAAGCTGTATGGAACCTTCAGTCCTTCTATAAAATTTTTGTATGGAAAACAGGCAAATAACAGTATGGTTCAAACTTAGAAGATGTTGCTTCTTCTCTGAGAGGCAGGTTTTGCACTTCAGATAGTATTTCCACACAGTTACTCTTAAGAGTATTTTGGTAGTTCAGCTATGTGGAGGGTGGTTTTCTTGCTGTGGCCTATAAACTTAATTCAAGAAAATTATTTTTTTGAACTGAATGTATTTCATAGTTTCACTTATTCCAGAACCTTTTTTAAATACCAGCTATTTCTGTTTTGCTGGGAGTGAAACTAACTTGCACCAAAACAACTGGTATCCATGAAATGTGATAACTGTGACTGCATTGGCTTGGGAGAACAGGGGCTTGATTTTTCTAGACAATATGGACTATGTGCCCCATTGATTAAACATCCAAACTAGTTGATTCTAATGGCAGAATTGAAGTGTATCATAGCCACATTGTTATGTGTGCATATGGAAGATGATAAATGGAAGAAAGACAATGTGAAATAAAATGGAAAATTTATCCTGGTGGTTTGTCTTAATTTATGGTTAATAAGTGAATGGTGGATGGGCTGCATTTGTATTACTAGATTGGGCAGGGGGGGCAGGAACCTAATTCCATGCTTAAAATTTCAGGGATCAAAAAGTATTAATAATGGAGCAATTCAGGGTTTTTTTAAAAAATATTTTTCACATGAACATATTCTCAGAATTTGCAATTGGCCTGTTAATTAAGCATAAAACCAAATGGGTGAGCTTGGGCCAGTCACTCTCTGGACCCTAGGAAAAAGGCAATGGCAAACCACATAGGAAACCCTTGCCAAGAAAACTATAGGGACTAATTGGGGCAGTACCAGGAATCAAAACTGATTCAACTACATAAAATAAATGGGAACATATTTTAATCTGAGAATTTGAATTTTGAAATGCAATACATTTCATCTTTCATCTTCACAAGAGCCAAAATAATCACATTTCATAGCTGGTATAGGTAGTTCTCCACTTACAACAGTTCATTTAGTGACCAATGTTACAACACTGAAAAAAGTGACTTATGACCGGTTTTCAGTTACAACTGTTGCAGCATCCTTGTCATCAAAATTGTCAACTGCCTCATATTTATGGCGGTAGCAGTGTCCCGGGGTCACATGATTCCCCTTTGGTGGCCTGACAAGCAAAGTCAATGGGCAAGCCAGATTCACTTAAATAACCAGGCTGGTAACTTATCAACTGCAGTGATTCACTTTAACAACTGTGGCAAGAAAAGTCGTAAAATGAGGCAAAACTCAACAGATGTTCCAACAACAAATTTGGGGCTCCGTTGTGGTCGTAAGTCGAGGAGTATCTGCAAGTCTCTAGAAGCGCGACCGTTGAAAGTGCAGGCCTGCGAACCTGAATGTAACCTACTGTACCAACCCAACCAACTAAACATAGCGGCGCTTCCGCTGACTTAGGAGAGAGAGAAAGCTCTCCAATCCGCGCTTGGCGGCTCTCCCCACCCTCTTCCTTGGGAGTTGTAGACTTTCGGCCTTTTGGCGACGCGGGGCCTGCCCTCTGCTGTGTAGCGATTACGTGGCGCGAAAGCGGAGACGGGACGCAAGCGCGGCATCATGGCGGCTCCCGGTGGTCGGTCGAGGGTGCTCTTGCTACTGCTGGTGGCCGGGATCGTATCCCGTGCGTGGGGCCTTTACTTCCACTTGGGCGAAACGGAACGCAAATGCTTCATCGAGGAGATCCCGGACGAGACCATGGTCATCGGTGAGCGGAGGGGAGGACCGGTCGTATCAAGGGAGGGAGTGCGGAAAGGAGGGGGACTTCAGTGTGCCGAGGCGGGTTAGGAGGTGCGTGTGGGTGGGGCGTGGTGGTGGGCTTTGGAAAAGAGCGGGCAGAAGCTGTTCCGAGGCCAACTTTCCCCCCTCTACCACGCAGGGAATTACCGGACGCAGTTGTACGATAAGCAGCGAGAAGAGTACCTTCCTGCTACTCCGGGCCTGGGCATGTTTGTGGAGGTGAAGGACCCCGATGAAAAGGTACATTAAGCACATGGTCTCAGTGAGGTTCTCGGGCACATTCCTCCCTCTGGGGCTCTGTCAGATGGCGGAACATCGGGAGAAACGCGAGACTCCACGCCAGAGACTCAACAACTCAGAACCAAATGCCGCGAAGTAATGGATTGGGTGGGTGTGAACACAGGTGCGCCTGTCGAACCTGGGAATTTGTGACTGTACCATATGTAAAACCAACACATGCTTTTGTGTCCAGATCCGATCTCACATCTATACTTTGGCATTGCTATTCCTAGGCAGTTTACTCTTCTGTATCTTTAGAAAATTAAACAGATCTGGCCACCTTTCTAATCATATCAAAAAGACATTCCTTTCAGAGTGGTTTAAAATAATCAGTTGCCGTTTCCTATTTGGAAAATAGTACAAAGTAGTCTAGAATGAAAAATAAATAAAACAATGACATTTGTGATCCTTCGTTACCTTTTTAATTTCATTTTTATTAGAGTGCACAAGTATATATGGTACATAATAAGAGAAATAAGTGAAATAACCTGAGTTACCTAGCAAATTCATTAAGTAAGAAAATAAATTTCATATTTTCCCTAATAAGGTTGTACAGCATGTAAAATAAACTTTACAAAAATTCCATGCTGTTTGCCCCTTAGTCTGATCAGCATCGAACAGTTGACTATTTTAAACATTCTTTAAATAATGGATTTAATCTCATACTTAATGTTATATGTTTCATAATTTAATAAGTAAACTATAGTCTCTGTGTTAAGAATGAATTCCACTCCCTACCTCTATGTTTAACCTGAATTTGTATTTAAGTTGGAACTCATACTTACAAAAGGACTGCCTCTTACTAAAGATTGTGTTGTCCTTTCTTGAGCCAACGAAGCATTGAAGCCAAGCAATGCTTCCAGGGACGGTTGAAAACAAGCTGTATATTAAAAACACAAAGGTTGTATCTTTATATCTAGGGATTGTCCTTAAGTCAGATGTTCTTAATTCAGAGACTGCCTGTATGTTATGAAATCCTGAATATTGAACCATGCTGAAATAATTGATTGCATTTAGAACATTTAATATCTACTGTATAGTGAAAAGATTTGCAAGAAAATGCTCGCCCTTTTTGAAGATTGAAATCCTGTATACATATCTTTTTGGTCTGACTTTTCTTGTGTGCTTTCTCATAAATCTGTTCCATTTACAGGTGGTGTTGTCACGGCAGTATGGCTCAGAGGGCAGATTCATCTTTACTTCACACACCCCAGGAGAGCATCAGATCTGCCTGCACTCCAATTCCACAAAGTTTTCCCTTTTTGCAGGAGGCATGCTGGTAAGATATTTATTAAATTAAGAGAAGATTTTTTTCCTCATGCTTGCTATTAAGGCATCTTTGCTGTTATTGGTATTTGCACTTTATTCTTTTTTTTATTCTTTTTGCAGAGGGTCCATCTTGACATCCAAGTTGGGGAACATGCCAATGATTATGCTGAGATTGCAGCTAAGGACAAGCTGAGTGAGCTGCAGTTGCGTGTTCGCCAGCTTCTGGAGCAGATAGAACAGATCCAGAAAGAACAAAACTACCAAAGGGTAAGAAAGGCAGATGATAGCTCTGTGACAGTTCAACCTGCCAGATGTGCAACTAGCACATAAACTTTTATCCCTTTAAAGAACTAGACATCAGATAGCAAGGAAATCTTTTCCTGAGATAGAGGACATGAAAATAACTATTGGATGAGGTCAGGACCCATATTAGTCTAGCATTTTGGTTCTCATACAAGTCCTCATTCATCAGGCAGGAGGTGTTGATCTTTTTACAGTTGTTGCTCTTCTGCAAGACACACTGATCCCACAATTTATTTTATTTTTCAGTTTATCTGAGTTATTTGTAATGAACCAGAAAAAAGATCTCTGTAAATGTAAAATGGGGGGGGGGGATTGCCCAGATGTTTAGTGTTTTACACTTATTTAAATTTTTACTGTATTGACCAATCATTCTGTTAAAGAGATCAGTCTGGGCTTTTCACAAATCACCTTTGAATTTCACCACCACCCTTAATAATTTGATGTAATCTGCAAACCTGGCTCACTCTCTGCTTACCCTAAGTCATGTTCGTCATGAACAGGTTAAAAGGCAACAGTCCCAGCACAGATCTTTGTGTGACTTGTGACTCTTACCATTATTCGTTCAGAAAATTGTCCACTTATTCTGATTTTTTGATTTTGTTCTTTAATCAGTGAGGAATTCTCAAAAAGATATGTTCTCTCATTTCATGACCACTAAGTTTATTTGGGAATTTTTGATGAGGAACTTTTGCAAGGCTTCTTGAAAATTAAAGTTCTGACAAGAGAATCCCAAAGGTGCTTATTTCAAGAGGCAACTGGATTTTCTGGTTGAAAAAAACATCTTTGAGACAACCATGACCTTTGATGACTGAGAATCTCCATAGACATTTGACTAGAGAAGTTCTTCTAGTTAGAAGACTAGACTAGATGAATAAATAAAGTTGGGGAAGAGGCCTAACTCTCTGGAGGAAGTACCATAACGAAATTGGTCAGCCCACATACCTTATTGTTAAGAGGGTATTGGTGAAAATATGCACAGTTTTCTATATTTTTGCTGTTTCCCCCAAACTGATCATAAAAATATATCCCATTCTATTTTAATGTTTCATTAATATTTTCCCTCTTTTCTCAGTGGCGAGAGGAGCGTTTCCGGCAAACCAGTGAAAGCACAAACCAGAGGGTTCTCTGGTGGTCCATAATTCAGACTCTCATCCTTGTAGTCATTGGAGTTTGGCAAATGAGACACCTCAAGAGTTTCTTTGAAGCCAAGAAGCTGGTATAAAACAAGAGTAATATCAGCCCAAAGCCTGCATTTCTCCCAGGAACAGTTCCTGGCACTTCAGGTGTCTGCATTGATCTTCTCTTTTCTCATTGGCCCTTTCCACCAGACTGGTTACTTGCCAGGATCTGTGCCATCTACCTCCCACTGTGTCAGCTCTTCTTCCTTCTTCAACATGTCAGCCTGTGGTGATTTCAATGCAGTGCTTTGGCCCCAGGAAGATGCTGCCTTCTTTCCAGATAGTCAAGACCAGTCCCCCTCTCTAGCTCTATAGGAAGAGTGTGCTTTGTTTTTGTATTTGCAGAGAGGGGAGGAAGGCACCATGTCTTCCACTTTTCTCCTGACTAAATATGTTCTTCAGAATTAGACTCTCTTCTGAAAGGTGATTGGAACTTTGCGTAGCCAGTATCACAGTTTATCAGAGCCAAGAAAACTTGCAATTTTTAACTGTGTTGTATATGTACTAGCACTGATTTCTAAATACCACCAGTGCACCACTCAGGAGAATGTTTTGAATGAGAAGATCTGGAGGCTCTCCTTTCAATTCTCCTTTTCATCATAAATAGGATGCAGTTTGATTTGGGGATTTGCTGCTATGGAATTAATAGGATTCTTTCTGAAAGAAATCTGTGTTACGGGATTAATGTGCTGATCACTGGGCTACTAATAAAAGATGATTAAGTATTGAAATTCACTTATGCTCTTCTTCTCTATCTTGTTAAAATTGATTTTTCCTGTCTATACCTACTCACCATTTTCTGGCATAGACAATACTTCATTTTCTTATTACCTTGAATGTATAAGCAGTTGCAAGGTTGCTTTTACAACAGTGCAACTTAAAGTAGCAGCATTCAATAGGATATATGCAGCAGTATCTGCAGCAAACCACAGTGAAACCAAAATTATGACATAAATGTATTATACAGATGCCACCTAGTTGCATCTAAGTATGTGTTATTTCTACATAAGTTGGCATTTGCATGTCAACATGACACACATTTTGTCATCTCCTGTCATGTCCTTGCAAATGCCCATGTATACAAGTTTCTGCTGCTCCACCAATAAGATCCTAATTACATTTATTAGGAAGAAAATCCTACTGATTTCATTGGAATGCCCTTCCAAATAAAGTTGCTAACATTTGTAGCTTAAATCTTGTTTGGGTTTCTGTTGCCAAATTCTTGGCTATCTAGCAAATTCTACATAATCATTGTTACAAAATTAAGGACACATTTCTTGCTGTCCCTTCCTCTAAATATGAGGTGCAGTTTTGGGGTGAAGAAAAAAAATGACTTGATTCAGACATTAAAATGTGTGGCCAGTAAACTATATTCTGCTATATCAAAGAATAAACTGCTTAAATTTTTTGCCCCTTGTGCACCTGGCTATATTTTTTAGCATGCCATACTTTAACAAGCGGTGGTTCTAAGCTGCAAAGTTTAAGCCACATTACCTTAGTTTGGAACACAGGGGAAACTGAATGGATAAGCCAGCCTCAAAAATGGGTATAGAAAAGGGAGTTGCAAAATGATGGGATATTTTATGTTGTCCGACTTCATTTTGCACTCAGGATTATTTGTCTGAATTGGGTCATTTTTAGGCAACTAGAGTAAAGGTTCTGTTATTGCTTGATGTTTGTGAACTGCACTTCTGAATAAGCTTGAAGCATTGTTGGCTTATGTTGACCATCTGATTTGCTTTTTTATCTCTTACGGGGAGCATGGCAGGATTGGTGGAATGAATGCAAGCATTGTACTCATTCCTTTGTCTATCCATACCTCCTTTTCACTATAGAAGTCTGAAAATTTTATTTGCAGTTTTGTAAAGAATGAGTATAAAACTTAAGCGATGGTGTATTATTTAGTCCATATCTGTTTGAAATATATGTATTGTTTCTTTATAAGTTTGCATAGGATTTTCTTTCCTTAATGCTAATGGTAGTTTATTACCTAAGCAGACTGCAGAACTCTGTAAGATGGAGAACTAACTGCAGTGAGTTCTGCAATTCAGATGTCACCAAATAAATCTAATGAACCTTATTTGTACGTGGAATAAATGTGTTATGTAACTGGTTTAATAATGATTTTATTGCTGAAATACCTGAGGATGAACTTAAATTGTTAAGAAACTTGATCAGACAAGTGAACTCCAACCTGTTTCCAATTATCCATAATACTAAGTCACAAAACAATATTGAATGGAGTTCCACTCAAAACAATTATTTTTCATAATTCAGTTGTATCTCTTGATTGGACTATATAACATGCCAGAATTAATTCTGAAATAAATCTTGGTGTACTGGGAAAATGGGAGCTTCTTAGATTGTAAAGGAAGAATCCAGCAGTGTTGTTTTCCTGTTCTTGGAATGTGGTATGCTGAGAAGGATGTCTTTGGAATAACCCAAACATTTTAGAATGACTTCACCATTGCCATTCATTGGTATATTCACAATGTCAGAAGGACATTAAATTAATATGTCTGCACAATCCAATTGAAGCATTTGAGTTTTTGGCCGCCTTTTACTGCTATACTTGAAACAAGTTATCTTTTAAGTGGGAGAAGAAATACTGTAAACGTTTTTAGGAGAGAGGGTGATTTTAATAAATGATCTGACCTTAATGTTTTGTTTATTGAAGGTACTTAATTCTGGTTGGTATTGTAATGAGAGAAATTAAAAATGGTTGTTTCCTTCTAAAACGTGTACTATCTTTATTACATCCCACATTTTGCAGCAGAAGGCATCTAAATCGATGTTTCAGCAATATGTTTAATGATTGGTTTAAGGCTTATGTTAATAAATGAACGTAAATCAACGAGCCCTTTTTCTAGCGATACTTAGAAGTTCGCTCTGCCTTTTGTACTCTTACATTCTATCATTCGGGACCGATTCCCTTTGCTCATCCTTAAGCGAGGAACTTCTCTTCAACTAGGAACAAATGTTAGGCGGAACAGCTGGTAAGGAGCATGTTTCTGGAGGGATGCGATAGTTGTTGGACCTGGTGTGCTAGCCAACGTGTCCCGGGTGGGGGTGTTGACCGGCAAGACGGCAGGATGTTGCTTTCTCGACGCAAGTCGACTATGTATCGCCGGGCGGGAGGAGGCGGGGGCGGCGGTGGGTAAGTTTCAATAAAGTATGGGGGACAGGGAATCAGATCGAGAAGATATTTGGGAGATGCTGTGGTAGAAGCAAGCCTCAATGGTTGCTCCTCTCTTGGGGCTCAGACGATTCGCTTTAATTTCTGAAGATCTGTAAAATGACCATGAACCAGAATCTATGACACGGGTTGGATATGCCTCTGTTGGGTATTTAAAACATAAAAAACGGTTCATACCTGGGGAGCCAATGCTATGTGGAATGGATTCATTGTTGGTGTGTGTCACGGTCGATTTTTTATTTTTATTTTGCCTACATAATAGCTTATTCTAGTGAAGGAATGAATAAGAAAGCTATGTGAGCCAGTGTCATAGTGCCATTGCATAGGGGGAAGATTGAGAGAAAAGCATAGTCTGCCCTATTCTTCACCCCACATTCCAAAACCGTTTAAGCAAGTTATTGAACAGGAACTAAAAAAAAACGGCCGATTGTGCAAATTTCCTTTGTTTCCCAAGTGAATGGAAGCTTTGCTGCAGATGCGAAGTCATAAGTGAAAGAGTTTTAAAGTTGGAGGACAAAATATTCAGATGTATAATCCTGGGCCTCATGTATATCCCTGTGAAAAAGAGATTTTGAGAGGAGTACGAGAGAATAGGCTGGATTATGAGGACTGATTTTGCAGTGTGCATATTCGTGCATGTATATCTAGCCTTAGGCAGAATGCAGCTTGAGAAAGCATGCATTTGGTCTTACTTCCATGTAAATACAGCTACAGCTGATGAGTGTAATCTGATCTGAACATTCTGTGATTCAAAAGCTTATTTAGGCAACTGATAGTTCATAGATAGTATTATGACATACAGTATGTGAAACTGATGTACTTACTGTGTTGAGTAAATTATGGTGACTAGATTCATAGAACACCCTAAACTGACAAGGCTGAATAGCTTTGTGTTTTAGAGCCTTCTAGATCTGGGACTTTACCGTCTTTGGTCCTGGAAGCTTGAGTCCTTCTGGACTCGAAATTCCTAGCTGAGAAAAAGGTGCCAGGCATGGCCAAGAGGGTCTTTGCACAACTGTTTTGTGCACCATTTCTGGACTGTGAGGCCCTGCTCACAGTTACTCTTGCCTTAGTCCCTTCACACATACTATTATAGTACATTCTACATGCCCTTGTATCCAAAAGCAGCACAGGCAGTTATGTGTGCCCCTAAGAAGACTCACATATCTGCTTTATGAGCTGTATGTTGCCAGTTACCTTCTGGGCCCAATTCAAAGTGCTAGTTTTGACTTTTAAAGCCCTACATGGCATGGAGACAGGTTATCTAAGGGTGATATAATATTCCTGATTATATTCTACTCATCCCATCAAGTTCTGGTAGGAGAGGCATATTATAGGCCCCATCTGTGAATGAGTTCCATCTGACAGGACCTAGGAGGCAAACTTTTTCTACTATGGCATCCACCATCTGGAACATCATCCCTCCTGATGTCAACTCTTATTTCCTTCCAAAAAGCCCTTAATACATTTTTTTCAACAACCTGTGGATCCCTGGTGATAGGGAGCCCACCTGTTGACTGTATTATGTGTGATATTTCCCTGCTTATGGTTTTATTGTAATATAGCTTGATACCTGTGCTTTGCTACAAAACATTTGGTCGGTCTTAGTTTTTGGGGAAGAAAATAAGGGGGGGGAAAATTCTGCCTCTGCCTATCAGCATCCATCGGTATTCATCTGGCTAGCGTCCTGTCAGTGTGTGAGAGAGTTGAGGGCTGTTTGGAAACTGAAAGAGTATTTGCTGTGTGAGCAAGGAGCCTGGGCATGGCTTAGCTCAACTGTTCTGTACTAAAGCTGGTTGCTGCTGTGAAATTAAAACTGAAACTGAAATTCCTCTCCTCAGCTTGTGTTTTGCATTTGGAACAGATTTCTTTTCAGGTGGGGAGGGGGAGTAGAACTCCTTAGCATCAGAGTGTGTTAATATATGAAATACTAATGCTCTGGTGGTCATTTCGAAAAATCCTATCTTAGTGAGCGCCAAATTTCAAGTTTGTAGGCTTTATGGTTCTAGAAATTTTGTGATGATGTGTGAGTGGTATTTCGCTTTTATACATATAGATATGTTTATGTTTTATTGCAAGAGTAGGCTTGCTGTGAATTGGACGGCAAAAAAATTAATAAATAATTGGTCTTATACCTAGTAGGTTTTAATAACAGGTTTTATTGTATGTCACTTCATGTAAGATGGGCAGCAATACAAATTTGACAACTAAACAAATTAGCATATTGTGTGAAGTTGGCCATTATTTGGTTTTGGCTTAATGCAAAATCTGTTAACTTAGCCGTAGTAACTTATAAACTATGGCTTTTAGTTTCAATTTTATATTACGGTAGTTTGTTCACTAAACTATGATTAAAACAAAACATGGATCTATAAATGCTTAATGCTTATCTCCCCATATTTTTCCCAAATACTTCTGTATTTTGGAGTTGAATTCTATTCATAACTATGATTTCTACTCTTACAGGCCATGTCCCAAAGATGCTTTTGCAAGAGGCAATTGGACTTGCTTGTTTTTCTTTGAAGACATTTCTCATCCAAGAAGCTTTTTCAGCTTTGAGCTCTGAGCTGAAGGAGCTTCTTGAATGAGAAGCGAAACATCTTCAAAGATAAACAAGAAAGCCCAGTTGTCTCTTGAAAAAGCACCATTGGGACAACTATGACCTTGATGACTGAGAATCCCCATAGACACTTGCAGGCCATGCTTACTCTGGGAAAGCCTGTGGAAGCTTGTTTTGTCCTCCATTCTTTTTTACTGGAGTAATCCATCACAGTGTTGTATTGCTTTTTCTGATTTTGCTTCAGGTTTCTCCGACTCCTGGGCATTCTACCCTGGAAATGCTCTCTCTTTCAGCTCTTCTTTATTGTGCTGTTGCTGGGTTTTCTCTCCCTGTTGTGGCTGCAGTTCAGTTGCTCAGGGGATGAGTCTAGAAGTCAAACAGCTGAGGCAACGGTACCTCAAAAACCTTGTGTACTTGAGCCTCTGCCTCCAATTCCTGATGATCCATCATGGGGACCACATCGCTTGGCAGTGTTGGTTCCCTTTCGGGAACGTTTCGAGGAGCTGCTGACTTTTGTTCCCCATATGCATCGCTTCCTCAGCGGGAAGAAAATTCGTCATCATATCTTCATTCTCAACCAGGTGGATCATCACAGGTATTTTATAATCTGAGTAATCCAGAATCCTGTCCTCATGCTTTTTTCCCTCTTTTCTAGCCTTCCAAACGCACGCCTTTTGGATGTGTTGAACAACAACTCCTATAATCCATAGGATTATAGTCCATGCTTGCTGGGAATTACAGGAGTTATTGTCAAACACATCCAGAGAGCAACTGTCTTTGCAACTTATTCTATTCTCTGGATTTCATCCATCCCTTTTCAAAATGGTTCAGGTCTGACACCGAAATGGAAAAATTAAAAACTGGTCATCCGTTTTACTAGAAAGAAAACATTTGTAATTCTTAACATAAGAGAACTGGGTAAGTTGAGGATCAAACCTGAATTCATAATCTTTCTGTCTCCTAGTAATTATTGGATGTTGCCAAATATTCCTAGTCCCAAAATAGCATTCAATAATCCCAATATAAAATAGCAGTTGAGCTTTTATTTTAAATTATTTTTCTAGTTATATGGTCTTAAGAATGAGTTAATTGAGAGAGATTGCCATAGAGAGGGGTTGGTATTTTTTGTTTCATTTTATTTTTATATTTTTGCAACTATATTTTTATTACTCTAGTGGAGCTTTCAGATCAGTGTTTAGTTTATGTCTGAAATTGGTTCTGGTACTCATTTTAAAAGTCTTAGTTTTTTTCTGAAACTATAATAGTGTAAGGAATTAACTACAGATCAATATATTTAGTTATACATCAGAAAACAAGAAAATATTTTCTGCATTCTTTTTTGCTTCCTCCAAGATATGCATGTCGTTTTCCTTTTCTTTTTTTGACAGATAATTTTTAAAAAATATTTCTAAACTATTTTGATGACAAAAATTATCAGAACCAATCACAAGGAATATAAACAATATAATAAACAAAAAATGATTTCCAAATAGATGTCTGAAATACAAAAATTACATACTATAATAAATATATTTATTATAGGCATAAAAACACAAAAGCATATTCATGTATATTAAAACAATACATATTCATATTGTGTTACACAGTTGTTATCAATACAAGTCAACAACAGGAAAAATTAGAATGTACAATGAGCATATTGGGTAGAGTTCCAGTTTCCAAATATTCTGACAATAAAGTTTGAGAATAGAAAGAACTGAATTCTTCAAACCATTGTTTCATTGATGGACAAGGGATATCCAGTCTTCTACTATTAATTTTTATGACCATAAAGTCATGCAATACTCATTTTTATTATCTTTCATTATGTCTCTAAATTGCACGTATTTAATTCAGAATAATTATATAAGCATTTCCAAAGGCCAGTGATTCTTTGAAATTAGAATTAATATTTGAAATAATTTTCTGATCAAAAGGGAGCCATTATAGCAGATGACCACATATGAAACAATTGCAGTCCAAGTACCACATCTGTCTTTTTCGTTTTATGTGATTTTATCTTACATTAAATATTCTGTATATCTGTTGAGTACATTGTGGGTTAAAGAATTGCTAATGATAATAAATAAAGCATGAACAATGCCCGGGTGCTCTATGCTATACTATACAGATCTGAACAATTCCAGCAAAGAAGTAATTCAACCTGCCTGGGTAGAATTTTGTGACTTAGGTCCACTTTTTTCACATTGATCTCTTGGGCAGGTTTAACCGAGCATCTCTGATCAATGTGGGTTTCCTGGAAAGTGGCAATGACACAGACTACATTGCCATGCATGATGTGGATTTGTTACCACTTAATGAAGAATTGGATTACAGCTTCCCAACAGCTGGTCCTTTCCATGTGGCATCACCTGAGCTGCACCCACTCTATCATTATAGCACCTACGTGGGGGGCATCTTGCTGCTTACCAAGCAACACTATCAAATGGTAAGTCACAACTTCTTTCTTACAGAAGAAACTTCTGCATTTTTTGCAAAAGGCAGAAGACCCTGTTGATTGTGCTCTTTCTAAAGAAACATAGGCTGCTTCTTCTTTTTTTTTGGTCTGGCTATTTGCTAGATGTATCAGGAGGTGAGGGGGGGGAGGCCTATAATCCTGGAAATGAAATGTTGAGAGAACAGTTCTGTATTTTCTAATCTTTCAAGTCTCAAACTGTGGGATTAACTGCCTTATTATTGTTTCAGTGTAATGGAATGTCCAACCGTTTCTGGGGCTGGGGCAGGGAAGATGATGAATTTTATCGCCGCCTCAGAGCAGCTGGACTTCAAGTGAGGATGAATCATTTTTGTAGCGGGAATTGGGTCTTTGGGATTCAGGCGCTCAGTGTGATCTGGGACTGCTTTAAACTTCTTTTCCCAATTCCCAAAGAATGACGTCGTTTAGTGGCTCACGTAGGCTCCACTATTCTTCGTTTCAGCTCTTCCGACCCTCAGGTATTACAAGTGGATACAAAACATTCCAGCATCTGCATGATCCAGCATGGCGCAAAAGGGATCAGAAGCGTATTGCTTCCCAGAAACAGGTGGGGTTTCTCATTTGGGAGGGGGATGAAAGTTGTATCTTGAAGTTGAACAGTGTTGTCTTTAGATGAAGTAAGCTAAGAAATTCTTGTTTCCTCTTGATCAGTTCCCTGTCATCTACAAGAATTACATTCAAATCTGCATCTCCAAATGGGATTCAACATTTAACATCTAATTACTGTAGCAAACATGACTAGTAGTAAGATGAAAAGTTGTAGAGGGCCACACATTGCCCAGTCACCAGCAAATACTAACTATAGTATAGCCCAGTGATGGCAAACTTTTTTGTTGTGGTGTGGTGTGCCGAAAGTGCGCGTTCTGGCACCCACAATGCACCCACAGTGGAGCCTGGGGGAGGCCATTTTCGCCCTTCCAGGGGCTTGAAGGAAGCCTCTGCAACCTTTGGAGGCTGAAAAACAGGCCCGTTTTTCGGCCTCCAAAGGCTGCAGAGGCTTCCCTCAAGCCCCCAGGAGGGCGAAAACAGCCTCCGCCAGGCTCCAGAGGCCCTCCGGAGGCTGAAAACAGGCACTTCCGGTATTTCTGGAAGGCCTGTTTTTCGGCCTCCTGAGGCTGCAGAGGCTTCCTTCGAGCCTCCGGGAGGGCGAAAACAGCCTCAAACGGGCCGAAAATCAGCTGGGAGGCGTGCACATGCGCAGTGCAGGTAAGTTTGGCTGGAGCTCACATGCCCGCACAAATGGCTCCGCGTGCCACCTGTGGCACGCGTGCCATAAGTTCACCATCACGGGTGTAGCCTATTACTGTAGTGCTGGGGACAGGAGAGGGAGCTGTTCTAGAAACATAATTGAGTCAGGATGTCATGAAATAAAGATTCTGATGTCTTTCTTTCAATACGGTTGAAATAGTAACAGTGAACTCTCTAACACAGAGAATGAAATGCACACATGAATTCTATTCATAATGGAATTGTAAATGCAATTTGCAGTGAATATCACTGCCCATTATGACCTTTCATCTGAGATCCGTTTCTTTCCAATAATCTCTCTAGAGTGCCATTAATAAGCGAGTTCCATCTTTAAAATATTTCAGTTCCTGCTTTACGGTCAAAACAGACCATGCATATGATGTAAATCTAGCAAATATTTTTTTTTTCTAAGTAAATAGTTAATGGAAAATTCAAGGTGCTTTTAGTGAAGGACTAAGACAAATGTTCTCAAATAAACTGTGTTACAGAAAAATATTTATGGGGAACATTCATTAAATGTTTTATATATTTAGTAGCATTTGCAAGCCCTTGGTGCTACTTCACCTCCATTTTTATATATTAAAGCTGGCCTTTTTCTAACAGAAAGAATATGTATCTATATATGTGTGGATAAAGACCATCTCTCCAAATATTTATGTCTCTGCATGTTGAATGCTTAAATTGTGGTAAAAGGCAGGTACTGCCGTGTGTTTTTAAGACTAAATCACTAGACAAGATGTCCAGAAGTGTATGTTATAGTTAGGAAGAAAACTTTCAGTATTAGTGCATACAGAATTTCCATGAAGATAAGGAACACTTTCTCATTCCCCTCTTCTATCTCTATTTTGTAAATAAATATACGTATCATTTTTAACTACACAATCTGTAAATTTACAAGTTTGTGGTTTTACTGAAAAGTAGTAATCAAAAACAGTTCATGAAGCAACAAAGATTATTTTTGCTAAAATGATCTCTAACATGGATTCTAATATTTAGAAATCAGATCTTCCTAAATTGATGCAATTTTTACCTTTCTGGACCTTAAATGAATGCAAAATTGTTAAAGTTAATAAGCGTGTAGTGTTTATAGCACAAGCGGAGAGGATTTGCATGATTTGTAGTCTTTTGATATCATGTAATTCTGTATTTTTAATGCTAAATTTCAAAGCTCTTGTTGTGAATATTTTAACTATTGATCAAAATGTATATGATTGAATGATCCATATTGGTTGTTTTTTTTTTCTTGTATTGTTGGCTTTTCCATATAACGCATGTCATTTTTCTTTTCACAGGAACAGTTCAAAGTAGACCGGACTGGAGGATTGACTAACCTAAAATACAGGGTAGAATCACGCATTTCCCTGAGTGTGGCAGGAGCTCCCTGCACAGTTCTTAATATCTTGCTAGAATGTGACTCCAATGAGACTCCTTGGTGCGCGTTTGGTTGATACTCCTGCTATACAGATTGCCTGTCTTGTTTGCTGCTCTACCAGTTCATGGCCAGAATTGCAGCTCAGCTCTGGGATGGCAAATCCTTCCGTAGGAACCGACAACCAGTCTTAACTGCCAGGATAAAGTGGTTAAAAAGAGAACTGAGGATCTACACTAGTTGATAAAGCAAATACAGGTCATTACCTCAGGATACTGCAAGGTGGCATCAATTGCAGTGGCGATGGAAACATTAAATAAGCCAAGTGCCTTTCTATCAGTTAGAAGGACATTGTCTTAGGTATCTTCATCTCAAGAAGCTGAAGAAACTGTGAACCCAGAGGCACTATAGGGATTAAATTATTGTTTCTCTGCTAGCCACGACTTGAAGATTTCTTTATCCAGACTAAAACTCAAAGGAATGTTAGACATTTGCTTCTCTTGTGGCAATTACAGGCATAAATATCTGCTCCAAAATATCCTTATACCGTATTCTTCCTCTGGTGCCTCTTGTTAGTACGTCCTTTGCTTTCTGACTCCAGGAACTCATGGCCGGCCATCTTAACTAGTCCCATTTTCAGATCTTTTGAACTGTAAAGGCTGTTGTCTTTACTGAAATACAGCTATTAAAACAAACAGATTGAAAGCATATTATATCTGAAATGTGTGTGAACAGGGTTTTATGTACTACTGTGAATAGTATCGAATTTTCTAATTTTGTACTAAACAGAATTCCGACTTAAATGAACCTTTCTGTCTTATGATGACTGTAATCCCCCCCCCCCCCAACACTCCTTAATGTGAAAGAACTGGGCACCAGAACATACATGTATATTATCTGAATATGATGCATTTGTATATTTCTGGATACAGTAGTGCTTTTTTCCATTGAGAAAGGTAGAGACAAAGTTAATATGATATGATCAAAGCCCCACTCCGAAACACCTGCGACAGAACTGGTAACTCCTTTGCAGTTGCATTCGGCATCTGTGGAAGCGGCTGATCACAGAGCTGGCTGGTGCAATATTAGTGATCTGTTGAAGACTCACTGTAGAGAAATGGAGGGTCTGGGCCCTTGGGGGAATATCACTGTGCCCTATAGTATGAAGGGGTGGAAGAGATGCTTGCCAGGGTTCCATAGAAATGCCTGCTGCCTCTGGACTCCTTTCCTCTTTCAGCGGTTTTGATTTCTTCTTAGGCTGTTGACTAAAGATGCTATTGAACTGTTCCAAGGTACTTGGATGTTCAGACTGTGTTGGGTTCATAACTTCAGAGGGAAGTTCTTTGTAGTTACACGAGATGAGCTTCTGCAGTTGGGGTTTGGATATAGATTTCTTGCCAACACAGGTTGCTGTAGAGGATAAGGTAGAACCAAAAGGGTTAATAGAGTTGCAATATCCTCCACCCTCCCCGAGAGTGTTCATTTTCTTCTTTTTTAAGCTTTTGACTGAGGAATATTTCATACATGCTGTGTCATGAGTTAGAAATCATTTCAGGCCATAGGAACCACTTTGGGGTTCTCCATAATAGTGAGAATATGTATATAAAATGTAAACAAAATGTCTAAAACCTCATGAAATCTCATGAAAGTATATGCGAGCATTATGAGATTTGGCTTATTTTTTAGAAATACACAAACAGAAGTCAAATAATTTAATGGCCCAGCAGATTTGTTGGCATCCATAAGCACAGTGTTGCCATGTTACAGTGTAGATCTGTAGGGATAAAAGACTCTTATAAAATGGGCCAGAGCCACTTTTATATTTTTTCTACTCATTACAGAAATTGGAATGTTTAATTTAAGAACAATGTGTTTGCCCATAACAAAAAGCTATTAAATGCTAAGAAATGGGATTCAGTAGATTCCTGTCTTTTCTTGTCCTGTAAGCTTTTGTATATGTCTCTTGTCTCAAATTCTTATTATTTTTCCCCATACCATTTTATCCCTTATTAGGATCTTCCAGATTTGAGGGAAAATACAGAGTGCAGCCAATTAACATAATTCAAGCAAATCTGTATGATGCATTGAAAGGGCTAAAACCATAGCAGTGAGAAGGAGCCATCAATTAACTTGCTATTGATGTATACTGAATTCCTGATTGGTCCAGATTTGCTCTTTTTCTAAAAAAACTATGCATATGTTTTACACGATTCATTCTTTCTTTGGTTTAATTTTTTTAAATTTGAAATATATCTGTATTGTTAAAAATAATATAATAAAATGCAAAAATATCCATATTAGGTAGTGAATACAGGCAATAGAATAAAACGAAAAGAAGCAAGCACAAATAAAAACATTATTATTAAAAAAACTTTCTAAAAATACATTCTACCTTTCCTTCCCAGCTATTTCTCCAGCCCCTGACCACAACTTAGATATTTATCATTTACAATGAAGATGATTACCAGTATACTTTTTGCCTCCTAATATATTTTTTAGAAATCATATTCTAAATTTTCCCTGTTAATGTGTATTATGCAGGGGTGGGATTCAAATTTTTTAACAACCGGTTCTGTGGGCGTGGCTTAGTTGGTGGGCGTGGCTTGGTGGTCATGTTATTGGCTGGGTGTGGCCAACTCAATATCACTCACATCGAGGCATGCATCTCCTCGCCTAGCCTCTCATGACTGGGGATGCTGCAACAGTCGTAAGTGTGAAAAATGGTCATAAGTCACTTTTTTCAGTGCCATTGTAACTTTGAATGGTCACTTCACACAAGCAAAGTACCAGCAAAGGAGAGGAAAAACACTCCAGAGACATTCCTGAAAGTCTAGCCCTGCCAAGAATGTAATAAGGGTTAACAGAGAGGCAGTTTCTATAAGCAACACCAGAATGTTTCCTTCCTGCCTTCCTTACAGGATTAGGCCAGTAATTTCTTCTAACAACCGGTTCTCCAAACTGCTTAGAATGTTAACAACCGGTTCTAGCGAATAGGTGCGAACTGGTAGAATCCCACCCCTGGTATTATGTATGGGATACATTCTTGTTTAAATTTGGTTAGAATTCTGTGAGAGGTGTAATTTCTTCAATTATAGCCCCTCAATCTGATTGATGGCAAAGGTCCTCTTTTCTGATCTTGGATCAAATTTGTTCTGGCAGCAGCCAACATCTGTCTTAGTAAATATTTTCTGAGACTGTACCCCCCCCCCCCCAAAAAAAAAATATATTTGTGGTTTCAGGTCAAATGTTATTCTTCATATTTTCTCAATATTTTGATTTATTTCCAGTACTTTTGATGGTTGTTTTTTTTTATATAACCACTACATAGTTCCTTCTTTGTTATGATATCTCCAGCATTTATGATATTATTATATGATTTCCCTATCTTGATCATTATTATCCATAAAACATTTTTTGTACTAATTTTTCCTTAAATTATAATCTGGAATAAATTTGCTTTTTCCTAATAAATCTTCCCATCATTATGTGGTTATTTGAATTTTTCATCTACTTTACCAGTCAGTTTTTGATTTCTTCTTTTTCCATGGCCTAATTCAATCACAACTTATATAGATATTCTAATAAATGATACTGGTTTTGTATAAGTGTTTCAAATTCTGCTTTCTTTCCCAAATTATTTCATTCTTTCTTGAGATCACTTTTTATTCTTCCGTATTTTTATCAGTTTTTGTCTATAATACTTTTTTTCAGATTGTTTTATTCTTTTGTTTCCTTATACCATAGATGCCTATGGAGTTCATTGACAAAGTCAGCTCCTTCTATCATTAATATTCTGCTATTTGGGGATTTTATCCATTGTCACATGATGGACACTCTTGGACAAAAATATGATTTAAAGTTAGAAACTGTGAAGGTTACCTATTTTTTTCTGAATGTTGAACATCTTTAAGTCTTACTCTTGGTTGTTTTTTTTCCTGCTCCGTATAAATCTCATGCATTTCTTTGCCAATCCTGTAAGGTTTTGTCTGAGATTGAAATTGGTATTATTTAAAATAAATTCACCTTGTCTGGTAGTATGTTCATTTTATTGCCACAATATGTCTTAACCCAGAATGTTTTAGATTTTTCCACCTTTTGTTTTTTATTTCTTTCCATAATTTATCATAATTATTCAGAAATTTGTCTTCATTGTCAAACAAAGTCCCAAACATTCGACTGTTGTTTTTTTAAAACAGATCCCACAACCAGTTTTTTTTAAAAAAAGGTTTTTTTCTGGAGTTAAATATTTTGTTAATTATTATCTTTGAATTTGTATCTGGAGAATTCACTGTGATCTGATTATTTAACCAGTGATCTTATAGCACTCTGATTGCACAATGGTTAGTATTAGATCATCTGCATGACATTTCCACTTGTAATTCTTCTCCCTGAATCTTGATTCCAAATATTTGTCTCTGGATCTTGTCTGCCAAAGCTATTCAAACATTTACAAATAATAAGGAAGAAAATGAATATCTTTGCCTGGTACCTTTGTTCATTGAAAAACATGTAGAGAAGATACCACTTGCTATGATCTTTCCTATTTGTCACTGATATATGATCTCCATCTTAAGTTTTAAGTTCTTGTCCTGGATTAATTTTGCTTAAAATTGTTAATAAGAAACATTGCTCCAAGTGATCAAAGGATTTTTCTGCATCTAAAAATATTACTACAACCTTCTTTTTCTTATTGTTGAGCTGTTCCAATGCGATTACAGGTAGTCCTCAATTTATTATCACAATTCAGCCCAACATTTTTGTTGCTAAGCGAGACATTTGCTAACTGAAATTTGCCCCTTTTTGCCCCAGTTGTTAAGGGAATCACTGCAGTTGTTAACTTAGTGACATAGTTGTTAAGTGAATCTGGCTTCCCCATTGACTTTGCTTGTCAGAAGACGGCAAAAGGTGATCACATGACCTCAGGACACTGCATCTGTCATAAATACAAGTCAATTGCCAAGTGTCCAAATGTTGATCATGTGACTACGGGGATGCTGCAATGGTGATAAGCGTGAAATATAGTCATAACTCATCTTTTTCAGTGCTGTTGTAACTGAACTGTCACTAAATGAACTGTTGTAAGTCGAGGACTACCTCTATTATAAATCTTTTAGTGTATTGTCCTTCATTTTTCTCTTCAGAATATAGACTGATCTGTAGGTATCATTTCAGAAATGTAGTACCTCAAACACTCAGCTAGTATTGTAGTGATCCTGCAGGTGGTTTCTGAGTTTGCAAATCCTAATTTGCTCCCTTTCTTTATTGTTGCTGTTTTTCTTTCTTTCTCTTTTCTAATTAGATATGCTAAAGGTTTTCTTCAGTTATTTGCATTCTCAAAATGATTTTGTTTGACATATATTTTATCTTTTGGAATTCTCCCATTCCTAAAGTCTTCTTGTTATTTCACTTTATGCGCTTATCTTAATGTCTGTGAGTTTGAATTTGTTCTAGTTTTACTTCTTTTTCAAATGGGTCCATTGTTTTTTTTCCCTTCAGAATTGTTGCAAACATTGTAAGAATTCTTAATAAGCTTTTCTCGTCTCCCATATGGTTGTCTCTGATATTCCTGAAGCTATATTTATTTTAAAAAGAGTTGTAGTTCTTTTTTTTTTATATTCCTATAATGCATCTTCTTGGAATAACAACCTGTCATTCATTTTCAATTCAAAAAGTGGGGTTTTTTTCCTTACGTTTGCTGAATGCTTGGCCACTAATAAAAAGTGGGCCAATCTTTTATATCTATTTTTATCTGAATTACCCCATAACACAAAAGAGTTTTTTTTTATAACTCTGGATCTATAGAAAACAGTTCTCTAATCATGAGTTTCCAGGTCATCATGTTCAGCCATATGAATCTGTTGGAGCAAGCTATATACTCAACATTCACCTCTCTGGTTCTTTACATTTTATTATCAAAGTAATGAAATGTACTCTTAACAAGCTGTAGTTGCTGCTAGCTGAATTTGAAATGGGTAGGATTTATAACCGATGCCATCTAGAGTTTGTGTGTTTTTAATCTATTTAAAGGTATAATAGCTTTGAGGAATAATGGCAGCTCGGAAGAAATTAGCACTTGCCAGTGATGGGAATATTGGAGCCTTCATTAGCTTTATGCCCTCACATTATACAGCTAGTCCTTAACTTACGACCACAATTGAGTTCAAAAGTTAGTTGCTAAGCAAGACAGTTGCTAAGTGAGTTTTGCCCCATTTCACGACCTTTCTCGCCACAATTGTAAAGTGAATCTCTTCAGTTGTTAAGTTAGTAACCCAGTTGTTAAGTGAATCTGGATTCCGCATTGACTATGCTTGTCAAAAGGTGATCACATGACTCCAGGACACTGCAAGCATCATAAACATGAGCCAGTCACCAAGCTTCCAGATTTTGATCACATGACCATGGGGATGCTGCAATGGTCGTGTGAAAAACAAAAGTCACCTTTTTTTGGTGCCGTTGTAACTTTGAGCAGTCACTAAATGAACATGTCAACTCATAAAATATTTTGATGGTCTTTTTAGAATTGCCAACAGAAAGGGAGGGGGGAGCAGTGCAGCAGCTTGCAAATTGAAACTGCATCCTATAAATGTTTTCAAAGATAGTAATTAGGTGACTGAAGTTTCTGCCGCGCAATATTCTAACTGGAGAGCATGATTGATGATGACTCTTGGCTGTGGATGTGTCCCATTGGAGAATATGAATTACGATGCACCCAGGGGATGGGGGGAAACCAGGGTCAAGGGTGACAATGAATTATGTGTCTCAGGGTCGGCTACATCCAGGCAGTGCCGGACAGTTTAACTCCCAATAAATCCTTTTTAAATTTTGAAAGTTTGGCTCGAGACTCATGATTTAAATGGAGGTAACTGCCAGAATCCTGACAGAACGGTTGTAAGCAGTGGTGGGATTCAATTTTTTTTACTACCGTTTCTGTGGGTGTGGTTTGGTGGGCGTGGCAGGGGAAGGATACTGTAAAACAGAGGTCTCATACTCGCGGCCCGCGGGCCAATTGCGGCCCGCAGGACGATATCCTGTGGCCCCCACCGTGATATGAAAGTATAATATTAGTGCGTTCTCCATGTGTCGCTAGCTGGCTAAACACTTCTATGTGCGGCCCAGCCTCACCCAGACTCTGCCTCCAGCGGCCCCCAGGTAAATTGTGTTTGAGACCCCTGCTGTAAAATCTCCAGTCAGAGGTGGTTTTTGCCGATTCTCCGAACTACTCAAAATTTCCACTATCGGTTCTCCAGAACTGGTCAGAATCTGCTGAATACCACCTCTGGTTGTAAGTCAAGGACTGCCTTGACTTTCAGTTGCTTTGTAGCGCTGGCATGACTACTTAATTATTCACCTGTTGCCATGTGCAAAGAGCTGCCGAGACTGGCTCCAGATTTCTCTGCTGAAGCCTCCAACTCAGTGCTGATGCTTGAAGAAGACGAATCTTCATTGTTAGCCTGGAGAAAAGAAGCGACAGTGCCTGAAGGTTGCAGCCATCTCAGAGATATTTTGTCTTTGTATGTGCAATGCAGATACTGTATATTGAGCTTATGTTTC